CTGTGACCGAGGTAAACGGCGGAAACGGAGTGTCTGTATTGCGTTTGGACTCGGCAGGGCTGCACGGCTGAGGCAGTGGTAATAAAATAAACGTGTGCTACCTACGTTTGGTGTATTGAAATTGTTTAGTACTTACGTCACTGCTGCCAAAATCTAAGCAATATAAATCTTTCTTAGCTAACTCGTCTCTTGCAATATGAAGAAACGTCACAGATTTATTTAACCTCATATCTAAACAAAGGTCCTAGGAAAGTTTCTCCCCATATATCCCCGGAAATGTAGAATATACATTCCAAGAATAGGTTTCTGTAGGAGCCAGGTTTAAAAGCTTATCTAAGGTGAACATGCTCAGTTGGGTTTTGGTGGCTATGAATCCATTCAGATCAAAAGTCAAAAGGGCCACGTAACAGCTTCGGCTGTTGTACGAATGGACAGATTCGTTCGGGTAAATACAACGATCTCACAAAAGACCACTCGCGTGAAGTGCAAGTGATACTTCTGGGTTTCGTCTGCTGAGTGACGTAGCCGGTTCCCACTTTATTAAAAGGTGGCAACGCATCTGCAACTTCACGGGTGTTGCACATGTCCATAGGCGGTGGTTATCATTTAACATCAGGTGAACCGCCAGCTCGCTTGCCACCTTCTAACATAAAAAATCCTCCGATTCATTCCATCAACCATTACTTCTCTTTCAGAATGGATGCTCCTGCCTCACCCCCTAGACTGGGCCCTACAAGGAGCATAAGACTTACCCGTAGTTGGGCCCAGTTTTGTTACAGACAATTGAATGTTAGAAGACGATTTTAAGGAGCTTCTATCGTAATTTAAATCCAATGAATAGTTACGTCTAATCATTCTTAATACACTCGCAATCATGAAATGAACTGCATGAAAGATAATGATAGCAATTCATAAACAATGTAATGTTATGATAACGAAAATAGTTTTATCTAATTTAAATTTGTAAGCAAAATGATAAGAGTTTTATTATTATATGGCATGTTTAAGAATCGTCCGAGATCTTAATATAATTTGCAAAGAAATAAAACAAAAGAGCAAACACAACACTCACGTTCTTTTTCACTTTGTAACTTGTCTTACTGAATCCCGAAATCCCGCTTAATTTGTGACTAATTGTCTACTGCATAAATGTTGATTCCTCGCTATGATATGGTAAAGATTACAAATGTCTCTGACGGATTTTCGTAAGTTAGAATAAACTCTGTGTTTCATTAGGTTCATTAATATTATTGTATTAGCCTTGTTATTTTTGTGCTACTTCTCGGGTTAAATCTTCTATCCATAAAGTCTTAAATTTTACAGATTACCTAGTGATTGAACCCAAGCATTTCAAAGAGTGAAAGCACTCACACTATTGGGTCTAGATGTCGACATTCGTGAGAAACGTAAACGATACAACTATAACTTATTAAACCCTTAAACCTATCAGATTTATTTATTTGATAATTTTTTAGAATAAATTCGTCAAATTAAAGAAATTTAAAAATTAAACAGAAACAGAAAATTTGTTTAAAAGCATTATTACGGTGAAAGAACAGAAAAGTTTCATGTTACAAATGCCAATATATTACATAAGCTGTGATGTATTTGGAGGCCACATTTAATTGTATCATTACTGCAATTTGTTTTAGGAATCAGCAAGTGAGCTAAACAAATAGCTGTCATATTATGAGCAAACGAAGCGTCTGTACAAACGTTTCCCGCGCACATTTGCACAGAGTATAAACTGTTTAAACTTTGCTAATTTTGTTATTACTCGCCTTACAATGTTGCTTTAGCAACGGAACGTAGGGTCGTGCTGAAACAATTCGCGGATACTGCCTGCTCAAGCCATTGTGACCTCTATCGTATTGATATATTCTCCTCACTCGAGGTGGTGAGAACTTCGGACAAGATTGTGACTATGTTACTTGTAAGTATTAATAAAATAAATACATCTAGTGCTTAGCACCATCGACTCGGTGAAGGATGACCGCCCACTAGATGGAGTGACGACTTGTGCAAGTGTTCGGGAAGTCGATGGATGCAGATGGCTCAGGATCGTGCTTGGTGGTAATCTGAGGGAGAGGTCTATGTTCAACTATGAACTCAAAAAGGGCTAAAATGATGATCATGATGGCATCCAGTGAACTGTGTTTTATTTACTTCCTATATTATTCAAAGTCCTAATACAATTTAATTGTTATTAATTTATGATTTTCATAATTCGGAGCCTATTTCGCCTCACTGCTGGGGAATGATTCTCCTTCATTTCATCCACTATGTTAATTCTATTATCTTGTTGGTCTTTACTTATGTGTTTTGTAGTGATGAGAGATTACAATTAACTAATCTACGATAAATACTTGGAAAGTCCTTATTTTCTCTATTTATTTGTCGGTGGACTACTGTTAAGATCGCCAATGCACGCTATCGTGCAAAAAGTTTTTTAAAAAAATAATAAATTTCTTGGTTCTAGGTCCAATATCATAATTCACGTATTAATACTCTATTTATTACTTATTTTTGTATGACTGCAGTAAGCAATACAAAGTAAATAAAAGTGGGAATGTGTCATAAATACATACATAAAAAATATTGCACCTGAAAGATGTAAAGAGCATTGTTACCGACCTCCTGGTATCATTGTTCTTTTATGGCTATCAAAATCACAATCCATGACTTTGGATGGCTTTAAGGAAATCGCTCTGAATATATACTTCAAATTAAATAATATGTACTTTTAATCATTTAATCGTTTAAATAGGCTTGCTTTATCTTCTTTATTTCGTTAATATGTTGAGAACGCTTTGTAAACTTTTTGTTCGAAAATATATCACTTCCATTTTATATACGGGTGAAAATTTATGTCTCTGTATGTATATAAGAAGAGAGGCGACTTAGCGAAACCGATGGAGACAGCTCGTTGACCAATAAAATAAGAGTCACGATCCTCAGCAGTAAGGGAACAACTAAGAAGAAAGAGAGATGTATATAAAAAATTTGCCACCGCATACGTCCACAAAACTCAAAAACTAGGCAATGGATGACTTGATATTTGTACACAACATAGCTAGCTATTGAACAGAAGTATTTTATTTTCTTTTTGTGGCTGACTAATTGTAGGCTCTGCTCGAGGGCTAACGATCACTGCTCCGCTACATGGAGGACAGCAACAACATCCAAAACTAATAAAAAAAACTGTTAAAACTAAGCATCTAAGTTGTTTATCAAGTTAGTTTTTTTGTCTTCTTTCTTCTTTTTTCATGTCTTGATTTATATTAACATAACGATACAAGCTTTTAAATTATCTCTAAAAGCCTTTCAATTAACTAGATTTTTTTGAACCTTTTTAATTTTTGTGCTGTATCAATCCGTTACCCGTTTTAAATATATAACGGTTCTAATATCGAACATATTTTTTTCCATTCTGTTACTAAGAAGTCAATTGAATAGGTACTTAAAATTATTATATTTAAGAATAAATTCCTAAAACAACTGAAATTATTTTTTTAACTGCCATGGAATAATCAGAAACCAAACTAACCGAAACAATAAATTCTAAAGCCAAACAGGGCATCATTCCAAAAAAATATTTTTTTTGACGAAAATCATTAGTACTGTCAAAAACTTTTTATTGTTCCTTTTTTGAGGATGTTTATAGCTTTTTTCTTTTCACAGCCCTCGTTTGTTGCTAGCTCCAGATTTAAGTGATACCAGGTTAAATGTTTGCGCCACAAACAGCGGAGAAATTGTGGTTTATTTAAGGCGTTATCTTAGAAAGTCATTGGCAGACTTGTAATTCTACGCGACGCTGACTTTGTTGTGCCTTATAATGATTACGTACGACAATTTCTCCAAAATTACGTCTCTTTAATACAGGCTCTCGGATAAAAGTTTAAAAATACACGAAAAATAAGTAGTATTTGATCGAATTCAATCAGTTTTTAAGCAGTCTTAAGAATATATAATATTAACCATTTTATTTATTGTTAATGATATTGACGTATTTATAAATTATTACTTTTTTTTTTTAGTTCATTTCATAACAATTAAGTTGCAAATCATTGTTATTTACAAAATCGATTTTATTGAGGCAGCTATCAGTAAAAAATAAACTGACGACTTGAAACACTTGAGGGAAAATTAAATTTTTATCTTTGATTTTAAAGACTTAAACCATATAGAATATGGAATGAAATATACATAGTTATCGTATTTATATATTTTTTCATCTTAAATTTTATAATAGATACACAAAATAACACTACAAGTACAACATTTTGATATCATAGTAGTGGTTGAAACCCCTACTGACTAATCTATACAACTACGGCCTACCTTACAATGAGAAGTGATTTTACAAATATTTACAATCGGTACATAATAGCTACTTTGTACAAAGAGTGACTAGAATTTATTTATAAAAATCGTAACTTTTTAATAAAAACCTCCGCGTTACACGTTAGCAAAATAAATAGCTTTAGGTACATATAACGGCCTCAATACTTTCTTTGCGTAGATTAAATACGAAAAACAGATAAGATTCCCGCGCAAAAGAGTGTACGATAGTGTAATTTTTAAATGTATAGAATTCTATCAAAAAGTCACGACGTCAATATTTACTGGCTCGTATCATACTCTTAAAACTATTTTACGGACGAAATTCATATTGTTAGATATTTTGCAAAATAATGAAAACAATATGTAACATGCATTATTATTAACAATTAATACTGTTGTTACTTACACGGCTTATCAATGGGTTACTTCGCTTACAAAAATACGTACATACTGGTAACATTCGATTTACATTGGTCGCCATTGCGATACGGATGTGCAGTTGAGGAATTTTACCCGCCAAATAGTTTGACAGTCGTCAATCGCACTAAGGACACGCCAGTTAATATTAGGGGGCTTGCACACGGTCCGCTTTCAGTCCGCTGGGAGCCGTTTCAGAACTGAGCCGAGCCCGAAACGCACCCGTGGAGATACATTCACCTGGCCCAGTCGTCCGGCGGCGAGCTGGCGTGGTGGAGGGGCGAGAAGGCGCTGCGGTGCGGCTCCGGCGCGGCGGCGTCCTCCTGGCTGCCGATTATCGACTCGATCGAGAAGCCGTTGCGGGAACGCTTGCCCCTCGGCTCAGTCATCTCCGCCATCCGAGGCGGCAGAGGCACCGGCCGCAGAGCAGCCGGCGGTGGCCGAGGCAGCGAGAGCAGTGGCGCCGGCGGCAAGTAGCACGGCAAAGGCAGGAGAGGCGCGTACGCCTCCCGCGCGAGCATCGCGACCACCGCGTGCGCGTGCTGCAGCGACGGCGTCGGCCTCTTGTACCTCTTGCGGCGCCGCAGAAAGCTGCCGTTGTCGAACATGTCCTCGGCCAGCGGGTCCAGCGTCCAGTAGTTGCCCTTGCCCGGGTTGCCCGGCTCGCGGGGGATCTTGATGAAGCAATCGTTCAGGCTGAGGTTGTGCCGTATAGAGTTCTGCCACGCGGGGAACTTCTCGCGGTAGTAGGGGAAGCGGGTCATTATGAACTCGCAGATGCCGCTCAGCGTGAGCTTCTTGTGCGGCGACTGGAGTATCGCCATCGTGATCAGGGCTATGTAGGAGTACGGCGGCTTGATCAGCTGCGAGGAGGACTTCTGTTTGGGCTTCTTGGGCGAGTCCTGTTTCGCGTCGCCGGGGCTGGGGGCGTCGTAGCGCTCGGAGTCGCTGGAGGGCGGCGGCAGGTCGGGCGGCTCCTCGTCCACGGACACGTAGCTGTCTTCGTGCTGGTACTCCTGTTCGCGGAGGTAATGCTGGATGTACAAGCGCGGCGGTGGCCTCAGGTCCAGCGGGAGTTCGCCTTCAATGATCATGTCGCGGTATCGCCCGAGGTCGCAATCTTCCATGCTGGTCACATGTCAGTGCGTCTTGGGCCGCGGCGCGCTGTGGACTGGCGCCCGTCGGCCCGCGGGGGCTCTGCCCCAGCCAGCCCCGCCCCTCGAGCCCCCTCCGCCCCGCCTCCTCCTCACCAGCCGCTTCCCTCGCCCCACCGCGGGCCCCGTTCACGTGCCAGTAAACACAACAATTGTCGTTATTATTACGGCGGTCCGGAGCTTTGTGCGCGAATTTCAGGCCGCCGACTAATAATTATTAGAGCACCCGCCGCTTATCGATTTGACTCCGCTACGGTATTCGTCACGGTTGTGGTCGGCTTTCGCACCTTGCGACGTTACGGGTGCGGATTTCTTTCTCGTTGGCAAATAGAGAATCGTCAAATCATTTTGATTACAATTCGATGTCGATACTTTCAATCATGTTTTAGTTAGCCTGTTAATATAGAATGGGTATCTAATATTTGACGGAAGAGATACTTGAAAGAAACATTTCAAATTGCCCTTAGCCCGGGAACATGAAAGGCAGTGTGTCCCGCGTAATTCAGAGACGGCGCGTCGCGTAATAAAAACGTGGACGCGCCGTAAAGCACGTCATAAGGGAAAACTGTTTGTCGAAGCGGCGCCGGCAGCGCCCCCTATAATCCTCGCCCGAGGGCTCGTTGTCGCTCAAAAAAAATCTCATAAAGCGAATTCTAACACGGCATTCAGGTGGACGTCTCCGAACGGGGCCCCGCTTGAAAAATATCCGCGAACTAGACACCCCGACAATACAAGTGGGGCTCCAGAGACCCTCGTGTGTGTTGCCTACCAAAACATTTACCCCTCGGGCGTCGAGGGATAAGCCGTGCGCGCGAGAGGGACGGCCGGTGCGTGCGAGGGAGAGCGGGCGACACCTGAACCAATCATCGAGTGGGACTCTTGGGGCGGAGCCGCCCAAAGCTAACATGTCAGGGCGTGGCATTAGATCCTATTATTGTCTGGCAAGGCAAATAATATTTTGCACAATGTACACATTGGGGTAAAGGGGGTTTCGGGGGAGCGCCGTGGGGTGGGGGGCGGAGGGGGGATGCTGCTAATTTATTCCCAACTTCGGTTACGGGTTGTTTTTCAGCTTTGCGAGCCTGTTATTTAAATTGGACGGAGTTATTTGTATGTAGCCGTCCGTAGGCATTGTTGGCTGTAATGAAGGAATTTCTGTCGGTTTGTTTGTTGCTGCGAAAATTTCCCAGCCGATTGTTGGCGGCGGGCGCTGGCGGTCGAGTTTTTTTGTTATTCCGTTTCATCGTATCACTAGGACTCTGTATCAACCGCTCCTTCGCTTCGCGTTTCTCGGTTCGAATTTGGGGTTTCACATTTTTTTATATAAACATGCGCTAATGACTACCATTTACATTATACCTTACCTTCTTATCTCGAAGGGATGCCATTTGGACAATCGGAAAGCGGCAACATGTCCGCGTTAGTTAGTTTTTAACCGACTTCGAAAAAGGAGGAGGTTTCTCAATTCGACTGTATATATTTTTATTTTTTATGTGTGTTCCTGGATAACTTCGTCGTTTATGAACCGATTTTGATGATTCTTTTTTTGTCGGAACGCAGATATCCCAAGGGTGGTACCATGATCCAAGGAAACGCGGATCTGATGATGGCATCCCAGCGAAATCGAGTGCCATGATTGAATGTAATAGGTATTATTAATGTTTTTAATTTTCTGATTGAAGTCGGTTTTTTTTGTTAAAAATTATACTTGTTTAATATTTTCTACTCGTACATTCCATGTACAACGTGAACTAAACATAACATTTAGGCAAAATCTACTTTTTTTTTAAACTGCCATTCTAGTTTTGATATTTGACAGGTAATTGAAAATAATACATAGTTTTGTCTAACGTATTAACCAATCTTGAATTTTCTACACAATTTACATACTTTTATACAGGATAGGACTTAATTGGTCCGTTACATTTCTATAAATATGATATGCCGTATAAATGTATTTTCTGAACTCAACATTATATTTGATTGATTGAGGGTGAACACTGTTTTCAATTTGGTAGTATTATTTCATTTTATAAGTATTATACTACCAAGGTGACACAATCACAACCACACCAATGACATGCTTTGTCCATTTTGTAACTTGAGTGAATATATTGATATTAATTCACTTAATGTCCACGTTTGTTGATTTATGCCTTGGAATGTATAAAATTTTGACAGCATTTTTATTATTAAACATTGTCTAGCTGATTGCGGATAGAAAAGCAGAACAAAAGATGATTTCAGATCTGGGTGTTTGTACACTTGAAATTAATGTATTCAATATCTTTACAATGCAACATAATGTTATCCTACAGTAAGAGCAATGTTTAAAAAAAAGAAAAGCAGTTGCTGATCAACCCACGAATAAATTAGCATGAATATTTTTGTAACAGTAATGCACTAAAACTTGTATGAATTCATCGTGAGGCGAAACCTACTATAAGGTACAGTTGACCTGTAACACTTATTACAAGTGCTGTGACAAGTTACAACAGAACTCTGTTTGAAACAATACTAATTGATATATGTATGGAACGTTTCCTTCAATAAGGATTAATTATATCGTTTTCATTACGTTTTTATTTATTTACTTTAAAAGCTTTTTTTACAAACAATAACTGTTAAAAAGATCAGTCGTACACAAACGACACATTAAGCTCAGTGAAAGACGCATAAAAGCTGTTAAAGTCGCAAGGTTGTATCCAACTTACTCATTAAGCTCCCATATTCGGATCAAAATAACAATTTTTAGAATTTTTCTTAAATAATAAGCTTGTTATATTTTCATGTGCTTTTTTTGCAATTAATGAATAAACAATTTAATGGTTTGTTGCATTTACGTGAAAAACATATAATATTATTGTTTTATTTATAACTTACTCTATCTCGTGAGTTTTAAGGTGCTCAATAGCCTCGAGAATTAGAGTGTTCTCTCAAATTGAGAGTGTTAAAGTTTTTTTATATAAACGAGGCAACAGTGGTAGGGTCACGTTGCAACTACTGTTGTTGCACGAATGGGCGGGTCCGTCCGGGGGTACCACAGCACACCGACAAACGACGACCGACGTGAAGTGTAAATAGTAACAGTAGGAAGTTGTTTGGTGAGCGAGGTATCCGGGACCCGCTTTTTTAAAGGTAGGCAACGCATCTTCGACCGCTTACGCCTTCTAGATGTCCAAGGGCGCCGATAAACACTTAATATAGAGTGAAATAACCGAAGGCGTTCCATTGTTTAACATAAAACCAAAAAAAAACCCGGCCAAGTGCGAGTCGGACTCGCACACGAATGGTTCCGTAACATTCTCTATAAAAACGGCGAAAAAAAAACATGTCTGTTGTATGGGAGCTCCACTTAAATATTTTTTTATTCTGTTTTTTAGTATTTATTGTTATAGCGGCAACAAATATACTTACATTATCGGCGAAAATTTCAACTGTCTAACTATCAAGGTTCCTGAGATACAGCCTGGTGACAGACGGACAGACAGACACACAGACAGCGAAGTCTTAGTAATAGGGTCCCGGTTTATCCCTTGGGCACGGAACCCTAAATACCGTTATCTCGGTATGTAAATATCATTATTATAACTCGCCATCTTTTTTTACTAACAATTTGTTACTTAAGTAGCTCCGTTATAATTGCCGTATAAGGAGCTACAATTATTTCGCAGACAGAGTCATAGTTAGTTGTTATGGTACGAGAAGAGTAGTCAGTACTTCGCGCCTCTTTAGCCGCGGACGCGTTCTACATTGTTTTGCCTCGTCTTTGTTAAACTGTTTTAGGTCTTGCATTTCCAACCGCTGCATTTTTGGAATGCTACCTTACGTTTGAGCTATTACTCGTAATTGAAAACGAACCTAGAAATAATTCTGCGCCGCGCAAAAGTTAAATAAGGTTGAAATTCCTGAAAATAATTCAGTTCTTAGTTTCTTGTCCGGAAAGTACCACCACTATACAGAAGAATATTGTTCAGACACAACGGTTTTGTCGCTATATTTTTTACCGCTACCGCACTATAATTTTTAAATAGAGGAAATATATGTGTATATATATTATGTAGTGAATTTATAGACAGTCGTCCGGATATTCAATTACCACGACTCTGTTTTAATAAAAAAACTGTTTAATCAATTCGAAAATATTACTGGCACCCTGAAATGGGTTAAAAAGAGTAACAACAAACAAACCAAATATACTATTCAAAAACACAGAATATATACAAGTAATTTGGGCTTTGGTTACAGTTTCAGTTTTCAGTTCAAGTCGGTCTAAAGTCAATTAAAACAATCCTACCAAAGGAATAAACGAACAAGAAAACAATTCGATAGAAAATTTCTATAAAACTTTAACAAGTCCATTCTTATTAACGAAAAACAAATTCGACTTGAAATATCTCATTATATAATTCATTTTCAGTATTATGAGTTTCCTAAGTATCACCGGAGCCCAAAATCGAATACTAATAAAATTAATATGGGACCACATGGGAAGCGCCAGCTTTCAAAAAAATTATCATCGAAACTGGGTGGACCGAGTCGAAAATTAATAGGTAACAAATATAAAAAAAAAATACAATCGAAGTGAGACCTCCCTCACCTTCTTTTGAAGTCTGTAGAAAACTAGAAAGAAATACTCCAACGGTAAGATATGATATAAGAATGGTGTAGGAATTAAATAAAAAGATACTCTTATATTTTTGGAACAGACGTCGCTACTCATCGTAGCAAGATAGGGTTCGTTTCGGGTTAAAGAACCTATCGTACATGAGGAAAGAAACTTAGTTAAATGTTTAAAGAAGAAGTGTTAATATTAAAAATAATTTCATTGCGTATGTCAGTATTCTTTTTGGTTTTTTTTTTGTGCCAGAATCACTAGCTCAAAGCGTAAAAGCTGCCTGTCACGTTATAGAACTGGATCAGGTTGTCTGTACTTTTAAACGTGAGACCTTTGCCGTCACTTGATAAGTGACGGCAAAGGTCTTACTTCCTAATCTTGTATTTATACTTATATAAAGTACACGCTTATACCCGGTCACTTGTTACATTACTTCCTAATGTTGTATTACGACTTAAAGTAATTTATAAAGTTTTTTTTTGTATACCTGATGTTACGCTTTCAGTCCTTTTACTGTTACAGCTTCATCAAAAGCAGAACCGGTGGGCCAGCCAGAACCCACGGGATTATATAAAGTACAAGCTTATACGGGGTGTTCGAATGCGTTGCTTATTTATTGCGTTGCTTAATACATTAAATACTGCTCCGCTTGCCCCACATCTAAATCTTATGAAAAGCCACGTCACCAAATACGTAGTGCTTATGAAAATGGTTTCTTTGTAAAACTTTAATAATATTTGCAATAATTGAAAATATCACAATATATATTTTTAGGATGAAGGGCAAAGTGTATGAGAAATAAAACTAAGAAGAATCATTTGAAATCGATCTACTAGTTTTTTCATGATGCGCGCACCACAATAGAATTTTATCATTTAATTTATATAGATTTTTATGTGAAACGGTTTGAAGCGAGCAGGTGGTTCACCTAATGCTAACTGAATATCGCCACCCATGGGCATCTACAACACCCGATAGCTTGTAGATGCGTCGGCAACCTTTAAAAAAGTGGGACCCGGTTACCTTATTCACTAAACGAAACGCGAAAGTTCAACCCTTCCATTTCACGCCGATCATCTATGAGGTCGTGGTACTTCCCCGGATTTGACTGACCTTCGTGCAATAGCAGAAAACCTGTTGAGTGGTCATACCACGGTAATAGATGACCGTCATCGAACGCTACACCGACTACATGACGATAAGATTTCACTGTTATCCACTAGTTTTAACTTTCAATCTTGATCCTCTCTGTGGTAAGGGGTCATTTAATTTATAGATGAGTCCAGAGCAAAGTACCAACCACA